TAAGATAATTTAAAACAGTGTAAGGGAGGTAATCCAAATACAACGTTTTGGTTACTTCCCTTACACTGCTTTTAAATTATGTTTAAAGAAATGCATATTTATAAAGGAAGACCAGTAAAAATATCTGCAAATGTTGCATCTTTTTTTTTTTACAAAAAAATCCATATGAAAGATTTGACACTATATTTTAAATTCTATTATAAAATAGATTAAGTTAGCACTATGGTAAATTTAAATGGGTAATTATGGTTTGGGGGAAAAAAAGGGGGGGGGGGTGGGGGGGGGGGGGTAAAAAGAAATTGTGGGGGGTCAATTTTTTCTCATTATACGACCGCAAAAAATTTTTGTGGTCGTATATTGGTATGACGTTGGCGTCGTCGTCGTCGTCGTCGTCCAGCATCGTCGTCCGAAGACACATTGGTTTTCGCACTCTAACTTTAGTTTAAGTGAATGGATCTTTTTGAAATTTTACCATAAGGTTAAATACCACAAAAGGAAGGTTGGGATTGATTTTGGGGGTTATGGTACCAACAGTTAAGGAATTAGGGGCCAAAAAGGGGCCAAAAATAAGCATTTTCTAGTTTCCAGACAATAACTGTGGAACGGTGTATGGATCTCTCTGAAATTATACTACAAGTTTCCATACCACAAAGGGATGGTTAGGATTTGCTTTGGGGGGTTATGGCTCAAACCGTTTAAGAATTAGGGGCAAAAAAGGGGGAAAAACAAGGTTGTCCTGGTTAATGGACAAATACTTTAGTACAAAACATAATTTAAAGCAGTGTAAGGGAGATAAATCAAATGCATCATTGAAATTATCTCCCTTACACTGCTTTTAATTTATGTATAAAGTAATGGTTAATGAACAATTAAGATAATTTAAAACGGTGTAAGGGAGGTAATCCAAATACAACGTTTTGGTTACTTCCCTTACACTGCTTTTAAATTATGTTTAAAGAAATGCATATTTATAAAGGAAGACCAGTAAAAATATCTGCAAATGTTGCATCTTTTTTTTTTTACAAAAAAATCCATATGAAAGATTTGACACTATATTTTAAATTCTATTATAAAATAGATTAAGTTAGCACTATGGTAAATTTAAATGGGTAATTATGGTTTGGGGGAAAAAAAAGGGGGGGGGGGGGTAAAAAGAAATTGTGGGGGGTCAATTTTTTCTCATTATACGACCGCAAAAAATTTTTGTGGTCGTATATTGGTATGACGTTGGCGTCGTCGTCGTCCAGCATCGTCGTCCGAAGACACATTGGTTTTCGCACTCTAACTTTAGTTTAAGTGAATGGATCTTTTTGAAATTTTACCATAAGGTTAAATACCACAAAAGGAAGGTTGGGATTGATTTTGGGGGTTATGGTACCAACAGTTAAGGAATTAGGGGCCAAAAAGGGGCCAAAAATAAGCATTTTCTAGTTTCCAGACAATAACTGTGGAACGGTGTATGGATCTCTCTGAAATTATACTACAAGTTTCCATACCACAAAGGGATGGTTAGGATTTGCTTTGGGGGGTTATGGCTCAAACCGTTTAAGAATTAGGGGCAAAAAAGGGGGAAAAACAAGGTTGTCCTGGTTAATGGACAAATACTTTAGTACAAAACATAATTTAAAGCAGTGTAAGGGAGATAAATCAAATACATCATTGAAATTATCTCCCTTACACTGCTTTTAATTTATGTATAAAGTAATGGTTAATGAACAATTAAGATAATTTAAAACAGTGTAAGGGAGGTAATCCAAATACAAGGTTTTGGTTACTTCCCTTACACTGCTTTTAAATTATGTTTAAAGAAATGCATATTTATAAAGGAAGACCAGTAAAAATATCTGCAAATGTTGCATCTTTTTTTTTTTACAAAAAAATCCATATGAAAGATTTGACACTATATTTTAAATTCTATTATAAAATAGATTAAGTTAGCACTATGGTAAATTTAAATGGGTAATTATGGTTTGGGGGAAAAAAAAGGGGGGGGGGGTAAAAAGAAATTGTGGGGGGTCAATTTTTTCTCATTATACGACCGCAAAAAATTTTTGTGGTCGTATATTGGTATGACGTTGGCGTCGTCATCATCGTTGTCGTCCAGCATCGTCGTCCGAAGACACATTGGTTTTTCGCACTCTAACTTTAGTTTAAGTGAATGGATCTTTTTGAAATTTTACCATAAGGTTAAATACCACAAAAGGAAGGTTGGGATTGATTTTGGGGGTTATGGTACCAACAGTTAAGGAATTAGGGGCCAAAAAGGGGCCAAAAATAAGCATTTTCTAGTTTCCAGACAATAACTGTGGAACGGTGTATGGATCTCTCTGAAATTATACTACAAGTTTCCATACCACAAAGGGATGGTTAGGATTTGCTTTGGGGGGTTATGGCTCAAACTGTTTAGGAATTAGGGGCAAAAAAGGGGGAAAAACAAGGTTGTCCTGGTTAATGGACAAATACTTTAGTACAAAACATAATTTAAAGCAGTGTAAGGGAGATAAATCAAATACATCATTGAAATTATCTCCCTTACACTGCTTTTAAATTATGTATAAAGTGATGGTTAATGAACAATAAAGATAATTTAAAACAGTGTAAGGGAGGTAATCCAAATACAACGTTTTGGTTACTTCCCTTACACTGCTTTTAAATTATGTTTAAAGAAATACATATTTATAAAGGAAGACCAGTAAAAATATCTGCAAATGTTGCATCTTTTTTTTTTTACAAAAAAATCCATATGAAAGATTTGACACTATATTTTTAATTCTATTATAAAATAGATTAAGTTAGCACTATGGTAAATTTAAATGGGTAATTATGGTTGCCAACTCCATTGTAAATTTGAATTGAGATTATGACCATATCTTGAGGGAAAGATTTTTTTTGGGGAAAAAAGGGGGGGGGGGGATAAAAAGAAATTGTGGGGGGTCAATTTTTTCTCATTTCAGATTTCAGAAATTAAAAAGAATTATTCTTCAAATATTATTTTTTTTTCAAATTTCAAATATTGAAAAATTTCAAGAAGTAATCTTTAATTGCACAGTATGGCGCATTAGATTTGTAAAATCTTTGATCACATTTATTTATTTGTTATGCCAAATCTAACAGTGTATTTAGATTTTTAATTTTGGGTCCAGTTTTCAAATTGGTCTACATTAAGGTCCAAAGGGTCCAAAATTAAACTTTGTTTGATTTTAGCAAAATTTGAATATATGAGGTTCTTTGATATGCTGAATCTAAACATGTATTTAGATTTTTGATTTTTGGCCCAGTTTTCAAGTTGGTCCAAATTGGGGTCCAAAATTAAACTTTGTTTGATTTCAACAAAAATTGAATATATGGGGTTCTTTGATATGCTGAATCTAACCATGTATTTAGATTTTTTATTTGTGGACCCCACTATCAAATTGGTTCATATTGAGGTCAAAAGGGTCCAAAATTAAACTTTGTTTGATTTCATCTAAAATTGAATTATTGGGGTTCTTTGATATTCCAAATCTAACCGTGTATTTAGATTTTTAATTTTGGGTCCTGTTTTTTAAATTGGTCTACATTAAGGTCCAAAGGGTCCAAAATTAAACTTAGTTTGATTTTAACAAAAATTGAATTCTTGGGGTTCTTTGATATGCTGAATCTAAACATGTGTTTAGATTTTTGATTATGGGCCCAGTTTTCAAGTTGGTCCAAGATAGGGTCCAGTATTTAAACTTTGTTTGATTTCAACAAAAATTGAATACATGGGGTTCTTTGATATGCTGAATCTAAACATGTATTTAGATTTTTGATTATGGGCCCAGTTTTCAAGTTGGTCCAAATTGGGGTCCAAAATTAAACTTTGTTTGATTTCAACAAAAATTGAATATATGAGGTTTTTTGATATGCTGAATCTAACCATGTATTTAGATTTTTTATTTGTGGGCCCCGCTATCAAATTGGTTCATATTGAGGTCAAAAGGGTCTAAAATTAAACTTTGTTTGATTTCATCAAAAATTGAATTATTGGGGTTCTTTGATATGCCAAATCTAACCGTGTTTTTAGATTTTTAATTTGGGTCCCATTTTTTAAAATTGGTCTTCATTGAGGTCCAAAGGGTCCAAAATGAAACTTAGTTTGATTTTAACAAAAATTGAATTCTTAGGGTTCTTTGATATGCTAAATCTAAACATGTGTTTAGATTTTTGATTATGGGCCCAGTTTTCAAGTTGGTCCAAGTTGGGGTCCAAAATTAAACTTTTTTTGATTTCAACAAAAATTGAATATATGGGGTTCTTTGATATGCTGAATCTAACCATGTATTTAGATTTTTTATTTGTGGGCCCCGCTATCAAATTGGTTCATATTGAGGTCAAAAGGGTCCAAAATTAAACTTTGTTTGATTTCATCAAAAATTGAATTATCGGGGTTCTTTGATATTCCAAATCTAACCGTGTATTTAGATTTTTAATTTTAAGTCCCGTTTTTTAAATTGGTCTACATTAAGGTCCAAAGGGTCCAAAATTAAACTTAGTTTGATTTTAGCAAAAATTGAATTATTGGGGTTCTTTGATATGCTGAATCTAAACATGTGTTTAGATTTTTGATTATGGGCCCAGTTTTCAAGTTTGTCCAAGTTGGGGTCCAAAATTAAACTTTGTTTGATTTCAACAAAAATTGAAAATATGGGGTTCTTTGATATGCTGAATCTAACCATATATTTTGATTTTGGACATTGGACCATAATAGGTAAATTAAAAAAATTCAAGTTCTTAGACCACATTCTTTCTGTGTCAGAATCCTATGCTGTGTCAAATATTTAATAACAATCCAAATTCAGAGCTGTATCAAGCTTGAATGTTGTGTCCATACTTGCCCCAACTGTTCAGGGTTCGACCTCTGCGGTCGTATCAAGCTGCGCCCCAGCGAAGCATTTTATTTCAGATTTCAGAAATTAAAAAGAATTATTCTTCAAATATTTTTTTTTTTTTCAAATTTCAAATATTGAAAAATTTCAAGAAGTAATCTTTAATTGCACAGTATGGCGCATTAGATTTGTAAAATCTTTGATCACATTTATTTATTTGTTATGCCAAATCTAACAGTGTATTTAGATTTTTAATTTTGGGTCCAGTTTTCAAGTTGGTCTACATTAAGGTCCAAAGGGTCCAAAATTAAACTTTGTTTGCTTTTAGCAAAATTTGAATATATGAGGTTCTTTGATATGCTGAATCTAAACATGTATTTAGATTTTTGATTTTTGGCCCAGTTTTCAAGTTGGTCCAAATTGGGGTCCAAAATTAAACTTTGTTTGATTTCAACAAAAATTGAATATATGAGGTTCTTTGATATGCTGAATCTAACCATGTATTTAGATTTTTTATTTGTGGGCCCCGCTATCAAATTGGTTCATATTGAGGTCAAAAGGGTCTAAAATTAAACTTTGTTTGATTTCATCAAAAATTGAATTATCGGGGTTCTTTGATATTCCAAATCTAACCGTGTATTTAGATTTTTAATTTTTAGTCCCGTTTTTTAAATTGGTCTACATTAAGGTCCAAAGGGTCCAAAATTAAACTTAGTTTGATTTTAGCAAAAATTGAATTATTGGGGTTCTTTGATATGCTGAATCTAAACATGTGTTTAGATTTTTGATTATGGGCCCAGTTTTCAAGTTTGTCCAAGTTGGGGTCCAAAATTAAACTTTGTTTGATTTCAACAAAAATTGAAAATATGGGGTTCTTTGATATGCTGAATCTAACCATGTATTTTGATTTTGGACATTGGACCATAATAGGTAAATTAAAAAAATTCAAGTTCTTAGACCACATTCTTTCTGTGTCAGAATCCTATGCTGTGTCAAATATTTAATAACAATCCAAATTCAGAGCTGTATCAAGCTTGAATGTTGTGTCCATTCTTGCCCCAACTGTTCAGGGTTCGACCTCTGCGGTCCTATCAAGCTGCGCCCCAGCGAAGCATTTTATTTCAGATTTCAGAAATTAAAAAGAATTATTCTTCAAATATTTTTTTTTTTTTCAAATTTCAAATATTGAAAAATTTCAAGAAGTAATCTTTAATTGCACAGTATGGCACATTAGATTTGTAAAATCTTTGACCACATTTATTTATTTGTTATGCCGAATCTAACCGTGTATTTAGATTTTTAATTTTGGATCCAGTTTTCAAATTGGTCTACATTAAGTCCAAAGGGTCCAAAATTAAACTTTGTTTGATTTGAACAAAAATTGAATATATGGGGTTCTTTGATATGCTGAATCTAAACATGTATTTAGATTTTTGATTTTTGGCCCAGTTTTCAAGTTGGTCCAAATTGGGGTCCAAAATTAAACTTTGTTTGATTTCAACAAAAATTGAATATATGGGGTTCTTTGATATGCTGAATCTAACCATGTATTTAGATTTTTTATTTGTGGACCCCACTATCAAATTGGTTCATATTGAGGTCAAAAGGGTCCAAAATTAAACTTTGTTTGATTTCATCAAAAATTGAATTATTGGGGTCCTTTGATATGCCAAATCTAACCGTGTATTTAGATTTTTAATTTTGGGTCTCGTTTTTATACGACCGCAAAAAAAATTTTGTGGTCGTATATTGGTATGATGTTGGCGTGGTCGTCGTCGTCGTCGTCTGAATACACATTGGTTTTCGCACTCTAACTTTAGTTTAAGTGAATGGATCTCAATGAAATTTTACCACAAGGTTCAATACCACAAAAGGAAGGTTAGGATTGATTTTGGGGGTTATGGTACCAACAGTAAAGGAATTAGGGGCCAAAAAGGGGCCAAAAATAAGCATTTTTTGTAACTTCCAGACATAACTTGTGTGTTAGTGTATGGATCTCTCTGACATTGTACCACAAGGTTCCATATCACAAAAGGAATGCTGGGATTGATTTTGGGGGTAATTGCCTCAAAATTTTAGGAATTAGGGGCCAAAAAAGGGGCAAAAAACAAGCATTTTTCTAGTTTAATGACAATAACTTGTGTGTAAGTGTATGGATCTTTCTGAAATTGTACTACAAGGTTCCATATCACAAAGGGAAAGCTGGAATTGAGTTTGGGGGTAATTGCCGAAACGTTTAGGAATTGGGGGCCAAAAAGGGGCCAAAAATAAGCATTTTTCTAGTTTCCAGACAATAACTTGTGTTCAAGTGCATGGATCTCTCTGAAATTGTACTGCAAGGTACCATACCACAAAGGGAAGGCTGGGATTGATGATTGGGGTAATTGCCTCAATATTTTAGGAATTAGGGGCCAAAAAGGGGCAAAAAACAAGCATTTTTCTAGTTTCAGGACAATAACTTGTGTGTAAGTGTATGGATCTTTCTGAAATTATACTACAAAGTTCCATATCACGAAGGGAAAGCTGGGTTTGAGTTTGGGGGTAATTGCCCTAAACGTTTAGGAATTTGGGGCCAAAAAAGGGCCAAAAAACACATTTTTCTAGTTTCCAGACAATAACTTGTGTTCAAGTGTATGGATCTCTCTGAAATTGTACTGCAAGGTACCATACCACAAAGGGAAGACTGGGATTGAGTTTGAGGGTGATGAATCATAAGGGGGTTCAAAAAATTTGGGGGGGGGGATTTTTTTTTTTTTCCTTTTTTTTCTTTTTTTCCTTTTTTTTTTCTTTTAAAATTTTCCATTTTAAGTTGGTTATTTCTGATTTATATTGAAAAGCAAATAATAATGATGTGGTAGGAGATACAAACAGGATGTGTAAATTATTATATAATAAGTATTGTGCAATAGCAAGAAATTTTCAATTGCACAGTATTGCACAATAGCAAGAAATCTTCAATTGCACAGTATTGCACAATAGCAAGAAATCTTCAATTGCACAGTATTGGGCAATAGCAAGAAATATCCAATAGCACAATATTGCGCAATAGCAAGAAATTGTCAATTGTACAGTATTGCGCAATAGCAAGAAATATTTAATTGCACAGTATTGTGCAAAAGAAGATACTTCGTATAAATTGCTTATTTCTTGACCAATTTCAATGGGGTTTTATTCTTGAATTCTTGGGGTTCTTTAATATGCTGAATCTAACCGTGTATTTAGTTTTTGGATTTTGGGCCCCGTTTTTAAATTGGTCCACATTGAGGTCCAAAGGGTCCAAAATTAAACTTTGTTTGATTTCATCAAAAATTGAATTATTGGGGTTCTTTGATATGCCGAATCTAACCGTGTATTTAGATTCCGTTTTCAAATTGGTCTACATTAAGGTCCAAAGGGTCCAAAATTAAACTGAGTTTTATTTTAGCAAAAATTGAATTCTTAGGGTTCTTTGATATGCTGAATCTAAACATGTATTTAGATTTTTGATTATGGGCCCAGTTTTCAAGTTGGTCCAAATCGGGGGTCCAAAATTAAACTTTGTTTGATTTCAACAAAAACTGAATATATGGGGTTCTTTGATATGCTGAATCTAACCATGTATTTAGATTTTTGATTTTTGGGCCCCGTTATCAACTTTGTCCACATTGAGGTCAAAAGGGTCCAAAATTAAACTTTGATTGATTTCATCAAAAATTGAATTATTGGGGTTCTTTGATATGCTGAATCTAACCATGTATTTAGATTTTGGATATTGGACCATAAAAGGTGAATGTCCGATTTAAAATTTTTAAGTTCTTAGACCACATTCATTCTGTGTCAGAAACCTATGCTGTGTCAAATATTTAATCACAATCCAAATGCAAAGCTGTATCAAGCTTGAATGTTGTGTCCATACTTGCCCCAACTGTTCAGGGTTCGACCTCTGCCGTCGTATCAAGCTGCGCCCTGCGGAGCATTTTATTTAAATTGGTCTACATTAAGGTCCAAAGGTCCAAATTAAACTTAGTTTGATTTTAACAAAAATTCAATTCTTGGGGTTCTTTGATATGCTGAATCTAAACATGTGTTTAGATTTTTATACGACCGCAAAAAAATTTTGTGGTCGTATATTGGTATGACGTTGGCGTCGTCGTCGTCGTCCGAATACATATTGGTTTTCGCACTCTAACTTTAGTTTAAGTGAATGGATCTTTTTGAAATTTGACCATAAGGTTAAATACCACAAAAGGAAGGTTGGGATTGATTTTGGGGGTTATGGTACCAACAGTTAAGGAATTAGGGGCCAAAAATGAGCATTTTCTAGTTTCCAGACAATAACTGTGGAACGGTGTAGGTTACAATACACCATTAGATTTTATGGGCGCAGCCATTTTATGAGCATAACATGGTATTCAGATTTAAGAGTATAGCTAATCCTGATTGGTTGATATGTGCGCCCGTTATTTTTTGTAATTAGAGACTTCGTGCATTCTGCATTATACCAAAGGCCAAATAAATTATTTTCCTTAGCCCTAACGGAACTGAGATGTCTTTTAAACGCTAGGATGAGACACGTATATTTAAGTGCAAAATTGATAGGCATGGGAGATAAGTACAAATTACGCTAAGAAAAGCAACGCGAACCTATATTTTTTGGACCAAAAAATACTGTCCTAATAACTTTTCTTTAATTCTAGCAAGGTTTCGTTAAAAAAATCAGCTTTCTAAAGTCTGTATCTCGAAAAAGGCTATCATTGTCGCCTATGGGGAAATTAATTGTTTATTATAATCTGTATGGATCTCTCTGAAATTATACTACAAGTTTCCATACCACAAAGGGATGGTTAGGATTTGCTTTGGGGGGTTATGTCTCAAACCGTTTAGGAATTAGGGGCAAAAAAGGGGGGAAAACAAGGTTGTCCTGGTTAATGGACAAATACTTTAGTACAAAACATAATTTAAAGCAGTGTAAGGGAGATAAATCAAATACATCATTGAAATTATCTCCCTTACACTGCTTTTAAATTATGTATAAAGTAATGGTTAATGAACAATAAAGATAATCTAAAACAGTGTAAGGGAGGTAATCCAAATACAACGTTTTGGTTACTTCCCTTACACTGCTTTTAAATTATGTTTAAAGAAATGCATATTTATAAAGGAAGACCAGTAAAAATATCTGCAAATGTTTTCATCTTTTTTTTTTACAAAAAAATCCATATGAAAGATTTGACACTATATTTTTATTAATTCTATTATAAAATAGATTAAGTTAGCACTATGGTAAATTTAAATGGGTAATTATGGTTGCCAACTCCATTGGAAATTTGAATTGAGATTATGACCATATCTTGAGGGAAAGAATTTTTTTGGGGGAAAAAGGGGGGGGGGGGAAAGAAATTGTGGGGGGCCAATTTTTTCTCATTTCAGATTTCAGAAATTAAAAAGAATTATTCTTCAAATATTATTTTTTTTTCAAATTTCAAATATTGAAAAATTTCAAGAAGTAATCTTTAATTGCACAGTATGGCGCATTAGATTTGTAAAATCTTTGATCACATTTATTTATTTGTTATGCCGAATCTAACAGTGTATATAGATTTTTAATTTTGGGTCCAGTTTTCAAATTGGTCTACATTAATGTCCAAAGGGTCCAAAATTAAACTTTGTTTGATTTTAGCAAAAATTGAATATATGAGGTTCTTTGATATGCTGAATCTAAACATGTATTTAGATTTTTGATTTTTGGCCCAGTTTTCAAGTTGGTCCAAATTGGGGTCCAAAATTAAACTTTGTTTGATTTCAACAAAAATTGAATATATGGGGTTCTTTGATATGCTGAATCTAACCATGTATTTAGATTTTTTATTTGTGGACCCCGTTATCTAATTGGTTCATATTGAGGTCAAAAGGGTCCAAAATTAAACTTTGTTTGATTTCATCTAAAATTGAATTATTGGGGTTCTTTGATATTCCAAATCTAACCTTGTATTTAGGTTTTTAATTTTGGGTCCTGTTTTTTAAATTGGTCTACATTGAGGTCCAAAGGGTCCAAATTAAACTTAGTTTGATTTTAACAAAATTGAATTCTTGGGGTTCTTTGATATGCTGAATCTAAACATGTGTTTAGATTTTTTATTATGGGCCCAGTTTTCAAGTTGGTCCAAGATAGGGTCCAGTATTTAAACTTTGTTTGATTTCAACAAAAATTGAATATATGGGGTTCTTTGATATGCTGAATCTAAACATGTATTTAGATTTTTGATTATGGGCCCAGTTTTCAAGTTGGTCCAAATTGGGGTCCAAAATTAAACTTTGTTTGATTTCAACAAAAATTGAATATATGAGGTTCTTTGATATGCTGAATCTAACCATGTATTTAGATTTTTTATTTGTAGGCCCCGCTATCAAATTGGTTCATATTGAGGTCAAAAGGGTCCAAAATTAAACTTTGTTTGATTTCATCGAAAATTGAATTATTGGGGTTCTTTGATATGCCAAATCTAACCGTGTTTTTAGATTTTTAATTTGGGTCCCGTTTTTTAAATTGGTCTTCATTGAGGTCCAAAGGGTCCAAAATTAAACTTAGTTTGATTTTAACAAAAATTGAATTCTTGGGGTTCTTTGATATGCTGAATCTAAACATGTGTTTAGATTTTTGATTATGGGCCCAGTTTTCAAGTTGGTCCAAGTTGGGGTCCAAAATTATACTTTTTTTGATTTCAACAAAAATTGAATATATGGGGTTCTTTGATATGCTGAATCTAACCATGAATTTAGATTTTTTATTTGTGGGCCCCGCTATCAAATTGGTTCATATTGAGGTCAAAAGGGTCCAAAATTAAACTTTGTTTGATTTCATCAAAAATTGAATTATTGGGGTTCTTTGATATTCCAAATCTAACCGTATATTTAGATTTTTAATTTTAAGTCCCGTTTTTTAAATTGGTCTACATTAAGGTCCAAAGGGTCCAAAATTAAACTTAGTTTGATTTTAGCAAAAATTGAATTCTTTGGGTTCTTTGATATGCTGAATCTAAACATGTGTTTAGATTTTTGATTATGGGCCCAGTTTTCAAGTTTGTCCAAGTTGGGGTCCAAAATTAAACTTTGTTTGATTTTAACAAAAATTGAATATATGGGGTTCTTTGATATGCTGAATCTAACCATGTATTTTGATTTTGGACATTGGACCATAATAGGTAAATTAAAAAAATTCAAGTTCTTAGACCACATTCTTTCTGTGTCAGAAACCTATGCTGTGTCAAATATTTAATAACAATCCAAATTCTGAGCTGTATCAAGCTTGAATGTTGTGTCCATACTTGCCCCAACTGTTCAGGGTTCGACCTCTGCGGTCGTATCAAGCTGCGCCCCAGCGAAGCATTTTATTGATTATGGGCCTAGTTTTCAAGTTGGTCCAAGTTGGGGTCCAAAATTAAACTTTGTTTGATTTCAACAAAAATTGAATATATGGGGTTCTTTGATATGCTGAATCTAAACATGTATTTAGATTTTAGATTTTTGGCCCAGTTTTCAAGTTGGTCCAAATTGGGGTCCAAAATTAAACTTTGTTTGATTTCAACAAAAATTGAATATATGGGGTTCTTTTATATGCTGAATCTTACCATGTATTTAGATTTTTTATTTGTGGGCCCGCTATCAAATTGGTTCATATTGAGGTCAAAAGGGTCCAAAATTAAACTTTGTTTGATTTCATCAAAAATTTAATTATTGGGGTTCTTTGATATGCCAAATCTAACCGTGTTTTTAGATTTTTAATTTTGGGTCCCGTTTTTTAAATTGGTCTACATTAAGGTCCAAAGGGTCCAAAATTTAACTTAGTTTGATTTTAACAAAAATTGAATTCTTGGGGTACTTTGATATGCTGAATCTTAACATGTATTTAGATTTTTGATTATGGGACCAGTTTTCAAGATTGTCCAAGTTGGGGTCCAAAATTAAACTTTGTTTGATTTCAACAAAAATTGAATATATGGGGTTCTTTGATATGCTGAATCTAACCATGTATTTTGATTTTGGACATTGGACCATAATAGGTAAATTAAAAAAATTGAAGTTCTTAGACCACATTCTTTCTGTGTCAGAAACCTATGCTGTGTCAAATATTTAATCACAATCCAAATTCAGAGCTGTATCAAGCTTGAATGTTGTGTCCATACTTGCCCCAACTGTTCAGGGTTCGACCTCTGCGGTCATATCAAGCTGCGCCCAGCGAAGCATTTTATTTCCAGGAGTTACGCCCCTTTGAACTTATTTGCCAAATATACTACTGCAACCTTTTGTCATCACAACTCCTCTCAAACCACACAACAGAATTTCATGAAACTGTGTAGATATTAAGGACATACTATGTAGATGTGCATATTGACAGGAAATTATGATTCAATTTTTTTCTGATACAATTTTTTTTTCTTACACTTATTTTATTTCTCCAATGACAATGTGGGGACGTGTGGTATGTGAGCGCGCTCACTAAGGTTCTTTAATTACTGAATAAAAAACTGCATAGGTCTTTTTTTTTAGTATTTTTTGGGGGTTTATTGGTCAACATAAGTTTTCATGTTGAGGTTGGTTTCACAGTTACCACAAGGAAAAGGTGAATTATGTTTGGTTCATGAAATCACTTTAATTGTAAATGTCTGTCTGACAGGGTACACCTACCTTGACCTAATTTATGTTCTTTGATCAATGTAAAGTATTCATGTTTGTGTCTGTTTCTCAGTTACCATCAGTTGTAAGAGAACCTTATTTATTCTATAAAATTATTGTAAGTAGCTGACCTTGACCTTATTTCATGGTTATTAATGATTAGACATATTGTATGACATTGATTTCACATACATTAGACACATTCAGTCAGAATCAATATAGCAGGCAAAACATTTCAAGGTGTCCACTTTTGTGTTAACTTTGTACATTTATATGTATTCAGTTTACTAGATTATTTTCATGTGAATAATCATGTGATTATTGTAGATTTTACGAAGTTACTAATCGCCATAGAGGAAGCAGAAGAAAATTTTAAACTACTACAAGAAAATGAGAGCAAGGTAAACGCTTACACTTGAAATTCATATATCTGTACCATTTGTGTCCTAAAACGCATCATGTGTGGATAGAATAATTGTCTTTTCATATTCAATTTATCAAGTTAAAAGGTCATTTTAGGTTAATTAGAGGGACTTTGTTAGTTTGGTTTTTTTTTTTGGGGGGGGGGGGGGGGGGGGGGAAATGATCAGAGGTTATAATATTAGATATGAAAATTTCCTCATTTCCATTAAACTAATAGACTATTACTGGTGTGAACTTTTGGCTGAATGTGAATTTCACTATTTTCACAACAGTTATATAGCTTTCCAAAGTAGTCAAGTCAGTAATACTACGAACAGTATTGTAGGCAAAGGCCAAGTTCAAAAGGTTGGGCAGAGATGCAAGGTAAAGAATGTTTAGAAGAATTTAAATAAATGATGGAGATTTACCAAAAAAATATAAGCAAAATTAAAATATATACATAATAATGGATATATATACATTCTGAATCTTTACATTTTTGTATGAGTGTTTGAATTATTTAGAATTTTACAGGGCTACATTATTCAGAAAAAAGAGAAAAGACCAGCTGCATCAGAAAGTAAAGAAGATCTACTGACGTAAGAAATAACCTATAATGTTACAAATCAAATTAGCTGTAATTAAAATATGATTCTAATTTATTGTATTGGTTTGAAATAGTTCTATACTTACAGTAATTGTTAGTGTTTTGACTTATTTGCCTGAATACAAAAACTGTTACATCAGGTATCAGGCAACAGATATCAAAATATTTCAATCATGTTTGTCTTCTATTCAATTAAATATAAAACAATAAAATTAATTTTTACTTAAATTTTGCAATATTCATATTTTGATACTAATTAGTTATACTTTTGGTAGGTATGATGAATTTCACCCCAGGTTATTCAAACAGCATACTGAGAAGCCTTATCAGGAGTATGATTCTTTTAATCAGGTATCTCATATTAGTTCATCTGTGTATTAGCCAGCACTAAATCTGCTTTCTGTATGAATGTAAAAACATAGTTGTCCTCTGTATTAATCTTATGCTAATTATTCTATCTCTGTTTTAGTATGACAGTTGTAATTTTCTTTAAATAAGAAGCCACAGAAACAAGACTTACACTTGCTGTAGTCAGCAGAGGCTTCAATAAATTTGTAAAGTTTGTGAGCAGTTCACACAGGCAAGGGACATCATTTACTTTATTGGACCCAAAACTAAAATTTACCCCTACCTAACACTAGCCCTAGCCCTTATACATAAACTTTACCAAAAACAAATCCTTACCATAACCTGAACCCTACTTTTAAAGTACAGGGTCCCGTAATGTAAATGAAGGCCCAGGTGAGAGACATCTCTATGTTAGCAGTTTATAAATGTTAGACTCAGATCGACATCAGGCCTCTAATCGACATCCGTTCCTCAAATTGTCTTCCAATGTTAAGTCATATTCTCAAATCAGTGTCCAATATTTTTACCCTCTTATCAACTTCATGTAAGTATTACCAAGATGATCTCCTCTCATAGATGTCCAATATCATTTAATCATTACTATTTATACTGTAAAAATCATAATGACTTATAAGTGATGAATATGAGGGTTGAACAAAAAAGTAGGCATCCCATTTCAAATAATCAACTAAATTAAGATAAAAGGACAAACATCAGTAAATGGTAATAAGACAAACACTGACATCATATTACATGTACATGCATTTGGATATTTTGGTGAAAGAACTTAATCCACTCTATTTATTTGTCTTATTCTGTTCATATTCATATAAATAAATGACATGTTGATATATGACAATAAGACAACAACCCAACAACAAAGATAAACAAAAGACATCTAGGGGGAAATATACAGTCTCAAACAATAGACAGAACGAATAAATACAGTCAATTGTTGAAAAGTATTATTATTTGGATTTAAAATCTTATATCGTTTAACAACTTTATGAGTTTTAGATTTAACCAACCATTTGCATTTGGAAAATGCCTGTATCAAATCAGGAATATGACAGTTATTTTCTTTGAATGAAGTTGTGATGATATTGCGGCTATGTGAAAAGGACTGAGTCTTACATATATAAGTCAAACAAAACTAGTTTTTTCTGTATAAGTTCTAAATGCCAGTTTCTTTATCTTTAACTGAAGGTATGTCTCTTAAGAATGAAGATGTTGAATATGATTAATTATTGCATATATCATGTATATGCAGGAAATAATTAGCACTGGACATTAAGCAAATAACCAATCTGAAAGCTGAAATGTATTCTACCCCATTTGGACTATGGTGAATAGTTGTCTCATTGGCAATCCTACCACATTTCCTTATTTTTATAGTATTGGTCCTTGCTAAAATAGCCACTTATGTTTTTTTCTCTCTCTCAGTAATTCAACAGTGTTATTTCTAACTAAAAAGTCAACACTGTTAATTGATCTTTGTAAGTCACCAATGCTAGTTGATGAATGTTTTAGTTTAAGGAATTTATTTTAGATTTTGCAATCAGTTTCACAGTTTTTAATGAGAAAAAACATACTGTGAACTTTTATTATTCATGGGGTACCAATTTTTCGGGGATTTCATGGGTACAAGTGAACAAGGAATTTAAATGTTCAACGAAGTACCAAATTTCTATATGATTGTATGCACACTTTTGTCATACCTTTCAAATCAAATATCCATGATAATACAATTTGTCCTTAATCAATGAAAATTGGTACCCACGAAACTAAATGAATCCATAGTACTGTAATTTGTTGGGTGTGAAATGATATTCATGATAAACCTCCACTAAAAATGCTTGAGAGAGTTGAAAGATAAGAAATCCTAAAAATGTGATTGGAACTTAGAATAGAGAAGTCAACCAATTCTAAAGCAACACAAATATTTATATGAGCTTTATTTTTGTCATTAAGTTATCAACCGATACAATTGCATTAAAACAAGAATCTCTTAAACCAATTTTCTGTACTTTGTTGTTTTTATTTCTTGTTTCTTTCAGGCAGTAGATGAGTTTTTCAGTAAACTTGAAGGTCAAAAGATGGATATGAAGACTGTTCAACAGGTAACCAGCTTAATATTTGATTGTTTTAGCAGTTGTCCATTGTTTTAGTTAAAATAAGATTGTTAGAATCCAGTTTTCAATCAAACAAGCAAATGTGAAAAGAACAAACCCAAAGGAATTATCACAATTTAAATAAAAATTTTACCTTTTCAGGAAAAAGCAGCCTTGAAAAAATTAGAAAATATTAAAAAGGATCATGAGAAACGAATTGAACAGTTACAAAAGGTTCAGGATACTGATATTAACAAAGGAAGACTGATTGAGATGAATCTAGGTCTGGTGAGTAGACACAAATACAAAGAGTTGTTGATTATATTCAAACATGTAAAATGCATCAATTTCAGAAAAATTACCACATCATGTTACATAAGTTGTTGTAATGGAAGAATGCCTTTCTTGACAATTACCAATCAGACTAAGTTGTGAAATTACTCAAATTTTTCATGATGTCAAAGACCAGTTGAAGCTAACATGGCCCTGTTTGAAAAATGAATTGTGCTTAAAACTTTTCAAAGAGACCTATTTAAACCATGGCAAACAGTTCAAACAAAGTGTTTTTATGGCTCTAATTTTTCTTTAAAAAAATAGTTAAAAAACTATCAAAATTTCAAAAAGTACCCTTTCTAAACTTATCCCTCCCTCATCTCATTACTGATGACCTTTGTTTCTGACAACACTTGACCGCAACAGGAAGTTGTCTAAGTAACTGTTTTTTTCTGGATTGGACTAAATAGGAATAAGATCTTTTATTATACTGTAATCACAATTATACTTTGAATTTTTATAATACCCACTGTTCATGGAATTTTACATCCGTCTAAACAACAAGTAGGAATATATTTAGCAGGAGATTGCAAGCAACTTCTTTTCAGTATTCATATTATTTTTTATTTATTTAAAGCAATATATCCTGATGATTTTAATTTCATTGATATTCTAAAGTATGAAATGATCAATGGGGACTAATGTTTGGAGGTTATAATATTGTATGACTTAATATTGTATGAACTAGTGAATTGCAGTATTTTAAAGATAGATTAAAAGAGAGGCTTCAGATAGAAGCAGCTTTATTCTGCATATGTGTTGATATTCTTGTGATAAAATACAGTTTTTGTTGATATTCTCTTGTTATTTGGCATTAGGCAGGTAAGTTTTTCCATGAATAGTTTCATTTGGCCAAATAAAGTATTGTCAATAAACATAAAACCTTCTTGCTATATCATGATTTTTATAACTAATAGTTTTCTTCTATTGTTTCAAAGGTTGACCAAGCTATACTTATTGTACGAAGTGCATTAGCAAACCAGATTGACTGGACAGAAATTCAGAGACTTGTAAAAGAAGCCCAACAACAAGGTGACCCAGTAGCACAATGTATAAAATCACTGAAGCTTGATACCAACCATATAACAGTGGTACTCAAGTATGTATTGTTGTCTTATTCTGGATTCTTTCTTATAAATAATGAATGTATATGTATTGTATTGTTATTTTAACTAAAACATTGAACACAAAATTTTTTTTCAATGAACAATGTTTAACGACAATTTTAAGATTTCTCACTGCAGGAATTGTTACTCAGACTGTTTGTCAATTTAGACATTAATTTATCTGAATCATTCGAAATGTGAAAATTTTAAATACAATTAAGTTTTGACATAGATTTCTATCTTAAAATATAAATGTGAGTTTTAAGTAATGCAAAGATATCTATCTTAGAATATAAATGTGAGTTTTAATAATGCAAAAGACCACATTGTTCACGTAACTGAAAACATCTCATGAACTTCTGAATATGCAGTATTCCAAAAATATATTTTTTTAACTTGTCTTTAAAATTTAACATTTAAATTTTAAGGGGATCACTTTGAATGATTTTACTAAATTCATGTTTCATTTCTATATAAACTTTCTTCTTTTGGGAAAACACATGTAAAAATCTACCTTTCATAAAATTTGTGTGGAATAATTTTACTTGAGGAATATGTTATCACTGAATATTTATTATAGAGACCCTTACTTTGAAAGTGATGATGAAGACCTGAATGAAGATATCTTACGTCCAATGCATATAGACATCGACCTGTCACTAAGTGCTTATGCCAACTCTAGAAAGTATGTTTGTTCCCATAGTTACATGTACTTTTATGTTCAATTGATGTAAAATTAATTGGTCACGTGGTTGTTTTGCTAACAAGAACAAATAAGGCAATTACCATGGTAATTTGTGACTATTAAGCAAATGGGAACTCGATAATAGGTATTGATACCAATTCTTAAAAATAAATCTTTTCCATGGTTGCTTATAATCATTTGATATGGACAAAATTTTGTCACTATCAGCTTAGTGCAACTCAAGACAGTAATGTAGGGTTTTTATATGAAAATATATGGTCCAGAGTAGATTTATATGTTGCATGAGCTTGTGAGTGTAATATATATTCTACGAGGGATAATATTCACCAATATTCATTCAATAACACTTTCATTGTATAGCAAAGCTTGAAAAACTGTTTACGTAATACATATTTTAATCACTGATGACATCACTAAATTGAAGCTTTCATTGCTCTTGTGCAATATGATATATTATTGCACACTTACCTTTGGTTACATTCTGTATGAAATATGTACAATAAATCAGTTTCCAGTGTATCAGTTATAATTAATAAATGTCTGCATTCTTGATCTATAAACAATTAGTAACTTAAGCTAGTAAATCAGTTCAGTTATAACTTATAATCAGTAAAACATTGACTGATTTTGTCAAATTTCCATAAAAAAAAGAAAGACCCATTGGTGGCCTTCGGCTGTTTTCTGCTCTTTGGTCGGGTTGTTGTCTCTTTGACACATTCCCCATTTCCATTCTCAATTTTATATTGATAATTGTATACATTTTATGAATAGGGAGAAAGTACTTGTTGTGTATGAAAGGAAAGCTGTGACAGAAACTTACTGTAATCATAATTGAAAATACGTATATATTTACATTTTTATACGACCGCAAAAAATTTTGTGGTCGTATATTGGTATGACGTTGGCGTCGTCGTCGTCCGGCGTCGTCGTCCGAATACACATTGGTTTTCGCACTCTAACTTTAGTTTAAGTGAATGGATCTTTTTGAAATTTTACCATAAGGTTAAATACCATAAAAGGAAGGTTGGGATTGATTTTGGGGGTTATGGTACCAACAGTTAAGGAATTAGGGGCCAAAAAGGGGCCAAAAATAAGCATTTTCTAGTTTCCAGACAATAACTGTGGAACGGTGTATGGATCTCTCTGAAATTATACTACAAGTTTCCATACCACAAAGGGATGGTTAGGATTTGCTTTGGGGGGTTATGGCTCAAACTGTTTAGGAATTAGGGGCAAAAAAGGGGGAAAAACAAGGTTGTCCTGGTTAATGGACAAATACTTTAGTACAAAACATAATTTAAAGCAGTGTAAGGGAGATAAATCAAATACATCATTGAAATTATCTCCCTTACACTGCTTTTAAATTATGTATAAAGTAATGGTTAATGAACAATAAAGATAATTTAAAACAGTGTAAGGGAGGTAATCCAAATACAACGTTTTGGTTACTTCCCTTACACTGCTTTTAAATTATGTTTAAAGAAATGCATATTTATAATGGAAGACCAGTAAAAATATCTGCAAATGTTGCATCATTTTTTTTTACAAAAAAATCCATATGAAAGATTTGACACTTTATTTTTAATTCTATTATAAAATAGATTAGTTAGCACTATGGTAAATTTAAATTGGTAATTATGGTTGCCAACTCCATTGGAAATTTGAATTGAGATTATGACCATATCTTGAGGGAAAGAATTTTTTGGGGGAAAAAAGGGGGGGGGGGATAAAAAGAAATTGTGGGGGATCAATTTTTTCTCATTTCAGATTTCAGAAATTAAAAAGAATTATTCTTCAAATATTTTTTTTTTTTCAAATTTCAAATATTGAAAAATTTCAAGAAGTAATCTTTAATTGCACAGTATGGCGCATTAGATTTGTAAAATCTTTGATCACATTTATTTATTTGTTATGCCGAATCTAACAGTGTATTTAGATTTTTAATTTTGGGTCCAGTTTTCAAAATAGTCTACATTAAGGTCCAAAGGGTCCAAAATTAAACTTTGTTTGATTTTAGCAAAAATTGAATATATGATTAAGATGGCTGCCAATGGAGTAGTGAGTTGATTTTCAGCTCTGCAGTTTTTGGCAATTTAAAGCTGGTTTTTGAAGGAATTTATTAATGGAAATCATATCATGATGTTTGGAATTTGATGAACTTTACAGGAATATGATTTTCTTCACATTTTGTTGAAAGATGGATTTACTATAGTGGAATTATATATTTTGGATTGGAAAAGTATTTGTGATTTATTGATTTTTCTGAGCTGTGTTGTCTGTATTACAACCATGCCTGGGGATAATAAAAGTGTAAAAACTGTACAAACTATGTTGGCAGCTAAAAAGCCTGGGAGCAATGATTCTTCTAAAGACTCTACAAAGGAAAAACCACCCAAGCAGAACAAACGATCCCATTCAGATGTTGCAAATGAGAGTGTAGAAGGAACTGACTTGACTGGTATTCAAAATGATTTAAGTGAAATTAAAAAATCTCTTCAGGGTACAGTTACAAAGACTGATCTTAATAGTGCTATGGTTAATTTAGTACAACAAAAGGACTTAAAAAGTTTAGTTAGTGACATTGTCCAGAAATTATTAGATCATTTTGAAGAGAAGATCACCAGTAAGTTTGAGTGTAAAATAAGGGAGGCAACTGGAAAACTTGATGATAAGTTAGATACATTGATGATAGAGAATGAGAATCTGAGGGAAAGAATCAGGGCAAAAGATAAAGTTATTGATAACTTAGTGGAAAAGGTTGGGGACATTAATAACAGATCTATTGATGCAATGAAGTTAGCCAATTACAATGAGCAATACAGTCGTAAACATAACATAAGAATGCTAAACTTTCCTGAAAAAAGGGGTGAGAACTTGAAAAAAGCCTTTGTTGAACTAGTAAATAGTGACCTAAATGTAAATATTGAGCCCAGTGATGTGCTAGCCATCCACAGAATACCTGGAAAAGAAGGTTACCAGAAGCCTGTTATCGTGAAGGTTAGAAACACTGACACTAAAATACGGATAATGCGACAAAAAAGATCCTTGAAAAATGAACTTAAATTTCATGATGATATAACACAACGCAATATTGGACTTATGGCAAGACTTAAGAACACTGGAAAATTTGAAAATGTATGGTTTTACAACTGTAACGTGTATGCCAAAACTGAAACTAGTAGCAGAATAAGATTTGACCTGTTTGACAATGTAGATGAAAAAATGAAAAAGAAATTGAAAGAGGGAACTTAATCAATCTTGTTTTGTCAGTTACATCATTTAATTTATTTTTGAATAATGTCCAGCTTTTTATACGACCGCAAAAAAATTTTGTGGTCGTATATTGGTATGACGTTGGCGTCGTCGTCGTCGTCGTCGTCGTCGTCGTCGTCGTCGTCGTCGTCGTCGTCCGGCGTCCGGCGTCGTCGTCCGAATACATATTGGTTTTCGCACTCTAACTTTAGTTTAAGTGAATGGATCTTTTTGAAATTTGACCATAAGGTTAAATACCACAAAAGGAAGGTTGGGATTGATTTTGGGGGTTATGGTACCAACAGTTAAGGAATTAGGGGCCAAAAAGGGGCCAAAAATGAGCATTTTCTAGTTTCCAGACAATAACTGTGGAACGGTGTATGGATCTCTCTGAAATTATACTACAAGTTTCCATACCACAAAGGGATGGTTAGGATTTGCTTTGGGGGGTTATGGCTCAAACCGTTTAGGAATTAGGGGCAAAAAAGGGGGAAAAACAAGGTTGTCCTGGTTAATGGACAAATACTTTAGTACAAAACATAATTTAAAGCAGTGTAAGGGAGATAAATCAAATACATCATTGAAATTATCTCCCTTACACTGCTTTTAAATTATGTATTAAGTAATGGTTAATGAACAATAAAGATAATCTAAAACAGTGTAAGGGAGGTAATCCAAATACAACGTTTTGGTTACTTCCCTTACACTGCTTTTAAATTATGTTTAAAGAAATGCATATTTATAAAGGAAGACCAGTAAAAATATCTGCAAATGTTTTCATCTTTTTTTTTTTACAAAAAAATCCATATGAAAGATTTGACACTATATTTTTATTAATTCTATTATAAAATAGATTAAGTTAGCACTATGGTAAATTTAAATGGGTAATTATGGTTGCCAACTCCATTGGAAATTTGAATTGAGATTATGACCATATCTTGAGGGAAAGAATTTTTTTTGGGGAAAAGGGGGGGGGGATAAAAAGAAATTGTGGGGGGCCAATTTTTTCTCATTTCAGATTTCAGAAATTAAAAAGAATTATTCTTCAAATATTATTTTTTTTTCAAATTTCAAATATTGAAAAATTTCAAGAAGTAATCTTTAATTGCACAGTATGGCGCATTAGATTTGTAAAATCTTTGATCACATTTATTTATTTGTTATGCCGAATCTAACAGTGTATTTAGATTTTTAATTTTGGGTCCAGTTTTCAAATTGGTCTACATTAATGTCCAAAGGGTCCAAAATTAAACTTTGTTTGATTTTAGCAAAAATTGAATATATGAGGTTCTTTGATATGCTGAATCTAAACATGTATTTAGATTTTTGATTTTTGGCCCAGTTTTCAAGTTGGTCCAAATTGGGGTCCAAAATTAAACTTTGTTTGATTTCAACAAAAATTGAATATATTGGGTTCTTTGATATGCTGAATCTAACCATGTATTTAGATTTTTTATTTGTGGACCCCGTTATCTAATTGGTTCATATTGAGGTCAAAAGGGTCCAAAATTAAACTTTGTTTGATTTCATCTAAAATTGAATTATTGGGGTTCTTTGATATTCCAAATCTAACCGTGTATTTAGGTTTTTTATTTTGGGTCCTGTTTTTTAAATTGGTCTACATTGAGGTCCAAAGGGTCCAAAATTAAACTTAGTTTGATTTTGAAAAAAATTGAATTCTTGGGGTTCTTTGATTTGCTGAATCTAAACATGTGTTTAGATTTTTGATTATGGGCCCAGTTTTCAAGTTAAGCCAAGATAGGGTCCAGTATTTAAACTTTGTTTGATTTCAACAAAAATTGAATATATGGGGTTCTTTGATATGCTGAATCTAAACATGTATTTAGATTTTTGATTATGGGCCCAGTTTTCAAGTTGGTCCAAATTGGGGTCCAAAATTAAACTTTTTTTGATTTCAACAAAAATTGAATATATGAGGTTCTTTGATATGCTGAATCTAACCATGTATTTAGATTTTTTATTTGTAGGCCCCGCTTTCAAATTGGTTCATATTGAGGTCAAAAGGGTCCAAAATTAAACTTTGTTTGATTTCATCGAAAATTGAATTATTGGGGTTCTTTGATATGCCAAATCTAACCGTGTTTTTAGATTTTTAATTTGGGTTCCGTTTTTTAAATTTGTCTTCATTGAGGTCCAAAGGGTCCAAAATTAAACTTAGTTTGATTTTAACAAAAATTGAATTCTTGGGGTTCTTTGATATGCTGAATCTAAACATGTGTTTAGATTTTTGATTATGGGCCCAGTTTTCAAGTTGGTCTAAGTTGGGGTCCAAAATTAAACTTTTTTTGATTTCAACAAAAATTGAATATATGGGGTTCTTTGATATGCTGAATCTAACCATGAATTTAGATTTTTTATTTGTGGGCCCAGCTATCAAATTGGTTCATATTGAGGTCAAAAGGGTCCAAAATTAAACTTTGTTTGATTTCATCAAAAATTGAATTATCGGGGTTCTTTGATATTCCAAATCTAACCGTGTATTTAGATTTTTAATTTTAAGTCCCGTTTTTTAAATTGGTCTACATTAAGGTCCAAAGGGTCCAAAATTAAACTTAGTTTGATTTTAGCAAAAATTGAATTCTTGGGGTTCTTTGATATGCTGAATCTAAACATGTGTTTAGATTTTTGATTATGGGCCCAGTTTTCAAGTTTGTCCAAGTTGGGGTCCAAAATTAAACTTTGTTTGATTTTAACAAAAATTGAATATATGGGGTTCTTTGATATGCTGAATCTAACCATGTATTTTGATTTTGGACATTGGACCATAATAGGTAAATTAAAAAAATTCAAGTTCTTAGACCACATTCTTTCTGTGTCAGAAACCTATGCTGTGTCAAATATTTAATAACAATCCAAATTCAGAGCTGTATCAAGCTTGAATGTTGTGTCCATACTTGCCCCAACTGTTCAGGGTTCGACCTCTGCGGTCGTATCAAGCTGCGCCCCAGCGAAGCATTTTATTATTAATTTCAATAGATAGATATAAATGTAAAAGATAATTGCTGAAGTAAAAAGTGTTTTATATCAGTCGTGAATTACATATTCCTATATAAATAGTTAAGAATATAAGAGATATTCATCTTGATAAATTTGTTTAAAATAAATTATACTGTCACTATACAGTAAAGGGGAAATAACTCTAACATTAATAATGATATAAATATTCAATTTTATCTCCCTTTTAAACATCTATTCCTTTGATAGATTTATGTATAATTGTTACATGCCATACTGTAAATTAATTAATACATTCAATGTTGAATGAAGAAAATAATAAGCGACATCTTATGTTTGTATGTGTGTATGTTTGTGTATGTCAAATTTGTTACAATTGTATATTTGTACTTATGAACTTACTTATATGGTTTATAAAACATCCCTTCATCTATAATCATGGATAATAATGTAATGATATTATCAATGAATGTGAGGGGACTTTTCTCAAATTCCAAAAAGAGGGCAGATGTATTTGATTGGGCTAAGAGTAAAAATACTTCGATAGTGTGTTTCCAGGAAACTCATAGTAAAAAAGACATTGAAAAAAACTGGGAGGATGAATGGGGAAGCACATGTTTTTTCAGTCATAAAGACAGTAAAAGTGCAGGTGTCTCTGTTATGTTTAAAAAGGGTCTGGATTTTGTTGTGCATAATTCTGTTACTGATGATAATGGTCGTTACATTGTTTTAGATGTATCAATTTTTTCACAAAGAATGAGTTTTGCCTGTTTGTATGGTTATAATACAGATGAACCTGCATTCTTTGATATAATAATGCAGAACATTTTATCATTTAAAAACACAAGTGTTTTATTATGTGGTGACTGGAATGTTGTTTTAGATAAATTTATGGATACATATAATATCAAACATAATAGAAACCCTAACTCCCGTAAAAAACTTGATGAAATCATTGATGTTTTTGAACTACTTGATCCTTGGCGTACATGCTATCCAGAAGATAGGAAATATACTTGGCGTCAGTCCTCACCTATAAAACAAAGTCGTTTAGATTATTTTTTAATTTCAGAAGACCTTTTTTCACTAATGAAAAATACTAAAATTATACCAGGCTATAGAACTGACCACTCAGCAATTATTTTCACCTTCTCAGCTTGTTTAGAGAAACGGGGCAAAAGTTACTGGAAATTTAACTCTCAATTACTCAGAGATGCAGATTATATACAAAAGGTTAAATTATGCATTAAGGATACTATTTTGGAATACTATCTGTCAGGTGATATGGAAGATCTTCTTTCTGTTGATTTGTCATGTAATGATCAAACATTTTTTGAAATATTGAAAATGAAGATTAGATCTTTGTCCATAAATTACAACATAAATAAATCCAAGGAGGAAAAAAATTTCACCCTCAAACTTGAAAATAATATTTTACATTTAGAAACTATTATGAACCATTCTCCAAATGAGGAGGTTCAAAAATCTTTACTTGATAAAAAACTTGAACTAGAAAATTGTCGACAAAAGAAGGTTGAAGGTTTGCTGCTTAGATCCCGCTCTAACTGGCATGAGAATGGTGAAAAATGTTCAAATTATTTTTGTAAATTAGAAAAGAAAAATTTTATAAAGAAAACAATAACAGAACTAATAGATGATAAAGGTCAACATATATCAGAGCAATCAAAAATTCTAACGGAACAACAAAATTTTTATAGAAATTTATACTCAAGCAAAAAATTAGATTGTGATGATTCATCATTTTTTAATCATAACATTAAGCTCACAGAAGAACAAAGAGATTTTTGTGAGGGAAATTTAACTTTTAAAGAGTGTGCTGATTCGTTAAAATTTATGACAAATGGTAAAAGTCCAGGTTCTGATGGGTACACAGTAGACTTTTATAAATTTTTTTGGAAAGATATTGGTCCTTTCATCTTTCGGTCTCTTCATTTTGGATACGAGGTTGGAAAATTTTCTGATTTTCAGTATCAAAGTGTAATTACATGCATTCCTAAGGAGGGGAAAGACAGACAGTATATAAGTAACTGGCGTCCTATTAGTCTTTTGAATACTGATATGAAAATAGCTTCTGCTGTTATAGCTAATAGACTTAAACCAGTTTTACCATTTGTCATAAGTGATACACAAAAAGGTTTCATCAAAGATAGAATTATGGGTGAGAACACACGCCTTTTATATGATTTAATGCACTATCTTGAAGAAAATAATAAGACAGGTCTTTTATTACTTGTTGATTTTGAAAAGGCCTTTGATTCCTTAGAATGGTTATTTTTAAAAAATTCTTTAAAAAGTTTTAATTTTGGGCCTTCAGTTTGTAAATGGTTTGAAACTTTATACTCAGGGGCATCAAGTTGTGTTATAAATAATGGACATACTTCAAAGTTTTTTCAATTGGAAAGAGGCTGCAGACAAGGAGATCCTCTTTCACCCTATTTATTTATAATTGGTGTTGAATTACTATCTTTAAAATTAAAAGATAATCCTGAAATAAGGGGAATAACTGTAAATGATAATGAATCACTTTTAAGCCAGTATGCAGATGACACATTCCTTATGTTAGATGGAAGGGAAATATCGTTGAGGGTAACACTTTCATGTTTTGAATCTTTTTATAAAATTTCAGGTTTAAAAATAAATGCTTCAAAGACAAAAGCACTATGGGTTGGAAACAAAAAGTATTCAGATATGATTCTTTGTCCTGACTTAAAACTTCATTGGTCACATTCAAATTTTAAACTTTTGGGGATTGAATTTTCTTTAGATTTAAACTGTATCACAGAAATTAATTTTGCCAAGAAGATTAAAGAAGTCTCTGCAATCCTGAAGAGCTGGCAACATCGTAAACTAACATTATTGGGGAAAATTACAGTAGTTAAATCACTTGCTCTTTCGAAATTGGTACACTTAATGACTGCATTGCCAAACCTATCACAATCCAGGTTAACAGAGCTCACTTCATTATTTTATAATTTTATATGGAGTGGAAAACCAGACAGAATTAAGCGTAACACACTTATTGGTGATATTTCACAAGGTGGACTTAATATGGTACATCTTCATTCCTTTAATATCTATTTAAAAATTAGTTGGATAAAAAGACTGATGTCAAACCCAGTTGGTGGCTGGCAGCAGTTGTTACTGGCAGACCTTATACAGTATGGGGGTGAAAGGGTTTTACATCTACAGAAAGAAAAGCTGATTGAGATTTCTAAAAAATGTAAAAATCCTTTCTGGAAGGATGTTTTACTATGCTTTTCTATCGCAAAACCTAATACTGAGAATTCTGTCAGTGACATTTTATCATTAGATATTTTGAACTTTTCCTCTTTGGATGATTTCCCATATTATATTCAATGGAAACAAGGAGGTGTGCAGTCAGTAAGTGACCTAATTAATAAAGAAAATATGAATTTTTATAAATTTGAGCAATTTCAAGAAAGAGTAAAAATCAACAATTTTATCAAATATCATGGTCTGATTTCAAGAATCCCTCAGACTATGAAAAAATACCTTAAAGAGAACTGTTTAAAGCAAGATTTGGATAAGCCTGATAATGGTGATATTTTTTTAAAGAGAATTATAGGTAATGTGAAAGCCAAATTTGTATATAAAAATTTAGTAAATAAAGTTATTGAACTACCAACAGTCAAGTTTTCGAAATGGGAAGAACTGTTGATTATTGATACAACAGAATGGTCAGAATATTTCAGGATAACCAAAAAATCATGTAGAGATGTTTATTTAAGAACTTTTCAATACAAATTTTTGCATAGAATCATAGCAACTAATACCTTTTTATACAAAATTAAATTAAAAGACACCAAGATGTGTACTTTTTGTAAACTTGGTGAAGAAACCATTGAACACCTTTTTTTTGAATGCCCAATAACTTTTCAATTGTGGCAGTCTTTTTCAAATGCAGTAAAACTTTTTTTTGTAAACTTTGTTCTTAACAAAGAGAATGTGTTTCTTGGTTGCAAACATGAAAGCTTATTACTGAATCTGTTAGTCATAATTACAAAAAACTATATATACAAATGTAAATTAAATGAAACAAAACCAAATATGGTTGGGTTAAAGAATAGAATAAAGAAATACCAATTTCTTGAATATTATATTGCAAAGAAAAATAATAGAGTCCAAGTGTGTGAAAAATTTTGGTCTCCTTTACATGTAATATTTAATTAATTATTGTTTCATATAAGTGAGAGAATAAAATATCTATATATCATGAGCAAATATTTAGCCTTGAGTTTTTTTTTGTTTTTTTTTTTCTTTAAAATATTTTGTTTTTAAAATGTAAGTCAAGATACATCATGTACATATTGTAGCAAAGCAAATGAGTGAAGAGTATTTGTATTGTATGTGAGAAAGTCAGAGAGCGAGAGAATATAATCAAATAAAATTTATATGTAACCTTAAATACTACATGTATAATTATAAAAATCAACTTGTCAGTGATATATATTGTATACTGAATTATTTTTTATATGTAACCCCTTGATACCCTTGTCAGGTGGTAGTGTAGGGGTACATGTATATTAAATCTTGACTATTGAAAAACAAATAAAAGATAAAAAAAAAAAAAAAAAAAAAAAAATTGAATATATGAGGTTCTTTGATATGCTGAATCTAAACATGTATTTAGATTTTTGATTTTTTTGGCCCAGTTTTCAAGTTGGTCCAAATTGGGGTCCAAAATTAAACTTTGTTTGATTTCAACAAAAATTGAATATATGGGGTTCTTTGATATGCTGAATCTAACCATGTATTTAGATTTTTTATTTGTGGA